TATTTATTTTACTCCTAATTTTGGCTAATTAAACTACAAGCGAAACATTTCTGTGATTTACCAGGGAGGAATTGATCCAATTCTGCGCGGAATGATGGTAATGCCTGTGAAACGGCCGCAGCGTTTAACAAAAGCAATAACGGAAAATATGTTTGGTAGCACTGATCTGGGTACCATTAACATACAGCGTGGCCGTGACCACGGTCTACCGCCATATGTACGATTCCGACAACTGTGTGGACTTCGAGCTGCCACATCATTTGATCATGTTAGTTTAGCTTCTTAAATGTAAAGTACTTTTAGTACAGCTTTTACTACAAGGCGAAGCTTTTTCTTCGAGATCAACTTAAAGACAAGCAGAGAGAAATCAAGTGCACTAGATGGTACCAGTTTCAATTATCATCGGAAAAAATCAACGTACTGCTGTTTCGGTCATGAAGTGTACAGGCTATTTCATGTACCATTTCAAGAGCCCTTCTTTGGCACAAAAATATTTGAAAAAAACTTTCAAAAATTAAAAACTGATGGCGTGTTCTATAAACTACTCTCCGTGTGAGGTAAAGAAGCTCATCTGGCACTGGCAAGAGGAACGATAGAGGTGGAAACGACGTCTATAATGCTGATCGAAATGGCACTGTAGCAAACGGACACATCAGTATAATAATATAAAACGTTTTTTCTTTAGAAATATCCTTGCTTGCTTGCCACTTGGAAGCCTATCCAGCAGTATAACACCAAATTAAAATAATTGGCCAACGCACGGGCTGCCCGTGCGAAGATGCGCTTTTTGTATAGCTCTCCGCAGATTTTTGTTACTGTCTTTGGCTTTTCCGGCAGATGCTTCTAGCTAAAAGAATTTCACCAGGATTGTCAGGAAACATTCCTTCAAAATTCCAGTCTTCTAGCTTTTCACTTTCCCGACTTAGCGACTTACCCAGACGAAACTTTTACGAGCCCCTACATAGGTACCACGCTTACCCACGGGAAGGGTTTGAACTCATTTATACCCACTTGGACGGGGAACATCCTCCTAAGATTTCAGCATTCTAGCTTCTCGGATCCCCGAATTATGAAATTACTTGAAAAAAAATTTGGCGGGCTCGTACATGGGTACCACGCTTACCCGTGGGCTGGGTTTGAGCTCATTAATACCTATTTGGACTGGGAACATTCCTTTAAAATTTTAGCCCCCAAGCAACTATGGTTCCTGAGTTAGCAGCCTACCCGTAAAAAACTTTGGTGGGCTCTTACGTGGGTACCACGCGGGAAAGACGCTCATTTTGAGGATGGGGCCCGTACGTACATGTGGATTAAATTCCTAAAGTTTGCCCTATAGCTTTAGTACGTCTTGAGGTGAAAAAGCGTGACAGACGCACACACAGATATACACAGACAACCCCTCGTCAATATGCGTTTTCTGCATTGCACTGCTGCCAAAAACGCATAAAAAAAGTGCTTGTGCGCAGCACATCAAGAAACCCCCCATTAACTGTATGTGTGAAATTCTATGAAAAGAAACAAAATTTGGCCAAAACTCTGCGTCTACTGATTGAGCCTGTCTTTACTGTAGATGTGGTTCGAAGATCAGTGTCATAGAGTCTAATGATAGTGAGAGAGTACTGTCTGCATCACTGGCCAGCACTGTTAGTCGGGAATCCACTCAGTGTTACGTTCTCGACTAGTCTTAGCGACAGGGCACACCAGGCGAAGTCTGGCAATGTGACGGGTATGTCCGTTGCCGGCTAATTTTGTCCCGCTGTGGACTGCCCGGAATTGGCAGTCGGGACGGCTCCCGAATATGAACTGCCCGGAGTTGGCAGTTGGGACCGGTAAATCGTTTTTTCCTGACGGGGATTTCTCTGGTAGGGTGTGTGGGAATGGGGTACGGGACTGGGGAGGGCGGTTGGGGATGCG